GAGTTTCAAGCCACCGGGTCTGGGACTCGAACTGTAGTCGACCATGTGGGAGTCCAGTGCCCCAACTACTATGTCACCTCCTGGCCCTTCCATTATCTTTTAAAAAGTATATTTATTTCAAGGGGCCAGTTGGGGGGGGGTTGTGGTTAAGGCTCTGGACTCTCACATGGCCAACCACAGTTTGAGCCCTGGACCTGGCAGCTTGAGTTCTTGTTTTCCCTGTCTCTCTCTCTCTCTCTCTCTGGTCCAATTAAAACAAAACGCAAGGGTGTATTTATTTACTTTCTTCTACGAGCAAGCGAGAGACAGAAAGCCAGTCCCACAAACACGGTCTCAACACCATGACCCCTGCCAGCCTCAGCCAGCCACAGACCAGGGGCAGAAGGTGCTCAGTGTGTTCAGTCTTCAGAGGCACCCAGAGCCTTCCCGTGTGGCTCGGCCTCACGGAACATTGTATTTTACTGCTGTGCCGCTGTCTGGCCCCCATTCGCCACTATTTTTTATTTTTTTAATTTGCCAGAGGGTGCTTGGACTGCCAGAGAGAAACAGAAAGGCAGAGAGAGAGAGAAAAAAAAAAACACCCCCCAGTGAGGTGTGGGCCACACCACAATCCTGTCCGCCTCATTTTTCCATCCCGTCAGGATTTGGGGCATGCACACACATGTACTCGGCATGTTTTTTCAGCCACCGGGGCTGGGATTTGCATGGTACAGTTGGCCACGTGGGCTGCAGCTCTCGCCATCACCGGTCCACGGAGCCAGTTCCTTCTCTGCCATTTTCAAAGCAAATCAGATTTTGTCTCCTGCTTGAAACCCTCCAATGGATTTTCACCACTTCTCCCATGAAGCCCAAACGCCGACCTCACCTCACTTCCCACCGCCCTCCCCCACTGCTGGCCTTCTCCCGGACCCTCAGACTCGCCAAGCTCACACCCCCTTCAGTGAGGTGCACACTCGGTGTGCACTCAGCTCTCCAGGCATTTATTTCGTTGTCTCAGCACACTCCTTGGGAGGGCTGTTACTACCCTCAGTGTACACAAGGGCCAACTGAGGCACAGAGCGGTTACTCGAGGAGCCAAAGACCATGCGATGCGCATGCGCAATAGCGTCTCAGAGGCTTCAAACCGGCTGTTCCCTCTGCCTGGACTGCTCTACTCCCAGAAGTTTTCAGGACTGACCCCTGAGCATTCCAGGACTGTGCTCCAATGCGACCTCTTGCTACATTCTCTCACTAGCCACCTTTTGTAAGTTTTGACTTTTGAACTATATGATTATGTTATCATTTCAAAATAAATACTTTCCAAAAAATGATGGTTATGAACAACACAAAAAGACCGTTAGAAGAACAGACTCATCAGTGAGACAGAAAGGATCGTGGGGTCCCATTTTTGTTAACATTCTTATAATTTAGAAAACAGTCTGGTATCTATTCCCTACCTGATTGTCACTGGGTGCTGAGGTTACAGGTGATTTTTTTTAAAGATTTTGCTTTGGGGCACATGTGCTTACAGGGTGGTAGGGAGAGAGAGACAGAGACAAGTGAGAAGGAAAGTGAGAAATCACCCCCCCTCCCCAGGGGAATGGCCACGCTGCAATCCCTTCTCCATTCTCCTCCTGGGATCTTGGGCATGCATGCACATGCATGCGGTGTGATTGTCAAGCCACTGGGTCCGAGATTCGAACTGCAGTCAGCCATGTGGGAGTCCAGCAACATAACTGCTACTCTATCCACTGGCTCTGATTAGGGTTTTTGTTTTTTTTAAAATAATTATTTTATTTAACTTTACTTATTCATTTATTATAATTTGACCAGAGAGGGACAGAGTGAGAGAGAGAAAGAGACAGTGAGAAAGAAACAAAGCAAGCCACGGCTCCAGGACTCAAACCCCGGTCGGCCATGTGGGATTCCAGCACTCTTTATCACCACGCCACCTGCCAGGCCCTAGACATGATTTTTATCTTCTTTTTGGTCATTTGTATTTTGTAATTTTCCCCTGGAAACAGGTATAATTGGGAAAAAGAACTAAGTGGCTCCTTCCACACTGGGTGGTGGATGCCCAGAGCCCTTGTTCTGCAGTGGGGACAGCTATAGTTGGAATGTTCATTCAGTTTTTCTACTGGAGCAGGCCAGCAGATGGCATAGCGGTTAAAGCCGCTGGACTCCCACATGGTCGACCGTGGTTCGAGTCCTAGACCTGGTGGCTTGCCTTCTCCCTTTCCCTCTCTCTCTCTCTCTATCTCTGATCAAACTGGAAAATAATAAAGTTAAATAAAAAAAAAAAAGAACTCTCTAACAAAAACAAAGTTCTCATACTGGAATTTGATTGCATCAAGAAGGCACTAAGAGCAAAAATAATCAGTGCGATTAAAAGGTGGGACTTTTGGGAAGTGATTAGGGTGGGATCCCCATGACTGGCTCCTGGTACCTTTATAAGAGAGACCAGAGCAGAGACAGAGATGCCGAGACGCATGGACAGATGTGTGCACTCCTGCTCTGCTCAGGCTCGTACCACCTCAACTCTGCAGAGAGCCGCTCCATCGCCCACCAGGAAGGAGCCCCACGGATGTGGCACTTTGACCTTGGACTTCCAACACCCTGAGCTAAATAAACTGCTGTATTATTTCAGTATACTCAGGCATGTCTGTTATCAGTAACACGACAGATGAAAATGGGGACACTGAGGCCAGCACAGGTTCAGAGTCGACCTGGCACGAGGTGTGGCTCCCCAGGCCTCGGGTGTTCCAGGGGTCCCTACGCATAGACAAGAGGGCCCTCAGTGGGCAGCAGGCCTCGTGGTGGGCTCAGCCACAGGGAGGCTGGCCTCAGTCCTGCCTCCTCCCAAGGGACCTGAATGCTCTTTGAGCTGACTGCCCGCTGCCCTGTCTGCCTAAGAGCAGTTGTCTTACCAATTTTTGGAGGAAGAAAAATGTGGGTTTTTTGGGGGACAGCAGGTGGCATAATGATCACATCACTGGACTCCCACATAGTTGATCATGTTTCAAGTCCCAGACCTGGCAGTTTAAAACTCACGCCTGGTGCGTGTGTGTGCTTGCCCGAAATCCCGAGGAAAAGGGAGGAGAAGGGATTGCGGCGTGGCCAGCCCTCCCCTGGAGTTGCTTTCTTGCTTTCTGTCTCTCTCTCTGTCTCTGGCAAGCACATGCACCCTTTGGCAAAAAATCTCTCTTAAAAAAAAAGTGGATTTTTTTTCAGTTTGTTATTTTGCCCTCTAGGCGTGGATTATCTTTGGTACCTGCTCCCTGCAGGGTAAGAGTTTCTGAGCCTGGAACCAGCCCTGTGGCCTGGTGGTTAGGAGAGCCAGATCCCATGGGCCTCGCAAATCCCAGGCTAGTGCTTTTCATTTGTAGCCAGGGTCCTCTTAAATAATTACTAACATGAGTTCTTCCTAGGCATTGGCCCTGTGCTGAGCCCCTCAGAGGCACCTTAGCATTTAATCCTCACACCTGCCCTTGAGGAAGGCTCGGTTCTGAGACCCATTTCTTTTTTTTTTTTTTGAGAGATTTTCACTGTAGGGCGCGTGCGCTCACCAGACAGACAGAGAGAGACATAGAGACAGAAAGCGAGAAATCCCCCCCCAGGGGGGATGGTCACGCCGCAATCCCTTCTCCTCCATTCTCCTCTCGGGATCTTGGGCACGCACGCACACGCGCCCGGCGTGAGTTTAAGCCACCGGGTCCGGGACACGAACCGCGGTCGACTACGTGGGAGTCCAGCGACATAGCCATTACGCTAACTGCTGGTTCCCCTGAGACCCATTTCTCAGGGGAGGCAGCCAGGCAAAGGCCCCAAGGGGAAGTGCCTAGTCATTTACAGGTGTCTGTGGAAACCAGCCCCAGCCCCCAGCCCCACGGCACTCCTGGACCCTGCCCTGAGTCCTGTGAGGTGACAGGTCATCTGGTCAATTGGGCTCTGGCCTTGAGCTTGGCCTCACTTCAGAAGGAGGCTGCACAGCTAGCAGGAGCCCCTGAAGCCCTGGGGTGGGCCCTCAGCTCTCTCTTCGGTGCAGGGAGAGGGAGCCCTGGCTCCAAAAACTCCCATCAAGTGCTTTTGGGCAAGTCATCTCAATTCTTAGGGGTCCTAGTCTCTAAGATGAGGGCCTGAATAACATCAAAGGGGTCACTGCTCCCAAATGTGGCCCTGTGGGGCCGCCCCACTCTGCTGGCTGGCAGTTTATGTCTGTCCAGGCCAGGTCTGTGGGTGAACCACAGCCTTGCTGAGCAAGCAGGGAACACTGTCTCTCACGGCGCCCCCTCTACAGAGGAAATAAGGCCCGCTGAGGCTCATTGATTTGTTGGGTACCTGCGGGGATGTGAATGCCCATCTCCTCTGGGGTGCCTGCAGCCTAGTCCGGAGCCCTGATCCCTTGCCCCCGTCAGTTCTGGGGCTGGGAGTTGAGGACAGCCCTGCAGCTTCCCGGCTGGCCACCTGGGCCAGGCTCCTTGACTGAGCCTTTTTCTCATCTGTAAAGTGGCCACAGTAGTCCCACCTCCGAGGGCTGTGGTGAGGCTGAACAAGGTGCAGGGCACAGAGCCAGGGCCCCATACGTGAGCTGTGAGCCGGGAGCAGGCATCTCCAAAGGTCTAAGTCCTCAATGCCTTTCACCTCCCTGTGCAGAGCAAGCACACACAGGTGACAGTGGGCCTGTCTCCAGAGCTGCAGGCGAGCATTTCTCCAAACCACACTGAGCATTGGGGAGCTCCAGGGGTGGAGCTGTGAGGCCACCAGAGTCCCTTGAGGGTCCAAACTCTGGAGCGAGGATCACAGATGACAAGGCCTCTCCCTTGGGACCCCCTGCAGTGTGTGGCTGTCATCATAGCCAATGGTCTCTGAATCCCTGGGGACCCTTATACCCATGGCACAAAAGAAAGAAACAGGCTTAGAGGTGAGGCTACCCGCATGAGGGCGCCGTGTTCTCCTACCTGGAAGGAGGGGTTTTCAGCTGCGAAAAGATGCTTGGATGGGTCCCGCCACTCCATGCTAGTTTCCCATGAGAACTTCTCAGCCATTGGCTGTGGGGTAGCCAGGGACCTGGCACCTTTCATCCTTCAGTTTCCCAGTCCCCTTCCAGGTGGGGCACAGAGCGACGCACAGGTGTGGGCACCTCTGCCAAGCCAGCTCCGCCCGTGCTTCGGCTGGGGCTGTGGGCTTGACAGGCCCTGAGATGCCAAGACTTCCTGCACCCCAGTGGGACTCCAGGCAGCAGCTCTGGCCTCTCCGGTCTGTAGGGAGGAAGGCTTCTCTTGATAGGTTCCCACCCTCATGCCGGGATCAACCTGGGACTTCCTGGCCTCCCTGGCGTGTTTCTGGAGTGTAGTAGTCTGAATCTCCCAAGTTAAATAACAACTGGAAGAGGTCAAAGGTGAGCCGTGGGGAGTAGGGAGGAGGTGGGAGGGGAGTATACTTGGGAAACTTTCAGACCTCGGGCTGGGCTTCCTGCTGGGGAGGAGTTGCTTTACTGGGCCTCTTCCAGCCCTCCTCACCGCAGCCTGCCACCCTTGCCCTTCCGTTAGGGCCCTCACCTGCCAGGCTGTGCTCCCTCCAGGACGTGGGCACGGGAGCATGGGTTCAGGTGCCTTTACCTAGTCACGTCTGCTGGAGGAAGAGGCTTTGTTTCACCAAATCATCTGGTCAAAAAGAAGCCAGGGAAGCCAGCCCCATGGCCTAGTGGTTAAGGGGGTCTTCAGCCCACATACCAACCACAGTTCAAGTCCTGGTCATGGTGGCTTGAGAAACATGCCGGGCATGTGTGCATACGTGCCCAAGATCCCGATAGAATGGAGGCAGGGAGGAGTGCAGCGTGGCCACGCCCCAGTGGGGAGCGCTTCCCCTCTTTTCAGCAAGCACTCACGCCCTCTGGCAAAAGAAAATAACCAGCCAGTGCACGGAACCGGTTCTCAGCCAAGGGTGTGTGGCAACAGGCGGGTAAAAGCAGGTCACATTTACACAGTCTCTCAGGTCATCAGTTCCCACTGTTCCTGACTCACTCAACTACATCCGAGATTCGCTTGAGCTGGCACTGGCAGGGTGCTAGGAACCTGGTGAGACCCACGAGGAGGCCGGCCCTCCGAGGCCTTCGCCCACACCCCGCCCTCCGCAGAAGGCACCCAAGTCACACAGAGCTTGAGCTGAAGCTGAGCAAGGACTCACACCCACCCTGCCAGTCCGGGCTCCTCCCTGGGGTGGGATTTGAGGAAGAGGGCAGTGGGACTAGCAGCTGCAGGGGTGAGGCCTGCTCTGGTTGTTTAGGGGCTGGGGACAGTGTAGTGGTCATGTAACTGGACCCCTATGTGAAAGATCCTGGGACTCAAACCAACTGGACACTCACGTGCCCACAATCCAGGCTGTCTGTGACTGGGGGTGGGTGGGCTATGGCAGCGAGACTCTGGTGGGGGAAACTGTCTTTCTCTTATGGAAGAAATGAATAAACTTACAAAAAATAACGTGGTCTGGGGAACCAGCAGTTGGTGTAATGGCTATGTTGCTGGACTCCCATGTAGTCAACTGCAGTTCAAGTCCTGAACCCGGTGGCTTAAACTCACGCCGGGCACGTGTGCTTGCGTGCCCAAGATCCCAAGAGGAAAATGGAGAAGAGATTGTGGTGTGGTCATCCCCCCTTGGGGGTGATTTCTGGCTTTCTGTCTCTCTGTCTCTCTCTGTCTTTCTGGCGAGCGCACACACCATACAGTAAAAACCTTTCCAAAAAAAAAAGTAGAAAGTACTGTGGCCTAATTGCACGTGAGTTTATTAACCAAGGAAATGAGAGAAAACACAGAGCAGCACACAGAACAGACCCGTTCTGCCTCCACCCCAGCCTCCGCAGATCCCCCAGTCCTCGAGATTTGTTTCCAAGTCACCCTGACCCCCTCAAAGGCTTTCTACTTTTTTTTTTTTTTTGGAGAGATTTTCACTGTAGGGCGCGTGCGCTCGCCAGACAGACAGAGAGAGACATAGAGACAGAAAGCGAGAAATCACCCCCCAGGGGGGATGGTCACGCCGCAATCCCTTCTCCTCCATTCTCCTCTCGGGATCTTGGGCACGCACGCACACGCGCCCGGCGTGAGTTTTAAGCCACCGGGTCCGGGACACGAACCACGGTCGACTACGTGGGAGTCCAGCGACATAGCCATTACGCTAACTGCTGGTTCCCAAAGGCTTTCTACTTTTTCAATTGCCAGAGGGGGCATGGTATTGCCAGAGAGAGACAGGGAGAGGGAGAAAGCACCCCCCCAACACTTTAATCTCCTCTCCTCCATTTTTCCATCTTGTTGGGACTTTGGGAACCCATGCCCAGACACCAGGGCTGGAATTCAAATCATGGTCGGCTACGTGGGACCCAGCTCCTTTACCCAATAGGCTCGGAGCTGGCCGTCTACTCTTTTTGCCCCTCGTGCACTTTATTGCTTTCCATGGAACTTTTCCATCAGCCTTGTTTGAACCTACTAGAATGCTGAGTTCCTGGCTGTATTGTCTAGAACTGTCTGGTCCTTGCGAGACACACGCAATAAGAAAGTTGAGTGAATGAATGAAACCATCAAAGATGCAGTGAGGATTCAGTGAGAAAATATATCACTTGGGGCCAGCAGGTGGTGTGGTGATTAAGGGTGCTGGACTCCCACATGGCCCATCACCGTTAGCGTCCTGGACCTGGTGACTTGCTTTCTCACTTCCCCCACCCTCTCTCTCTGTTCAAACTGGAAAATAACAACAAATAAGGTTAAATAAAAAATAATTCTTTTTTTTAAAAAAGAAAACATATCATTGCACAATTGCTCCTAGGAAATTCTGCAAATGTGGGGCCAGAAAGAGGCATGGAGATTAAGGCACTGGATCCCTCATGGCCAGACCCCAGTGCTTTGAAAATCACGCTGTACTCGTGTGCATGCACACCCACAATCCTGAGAGTGGAGGCATTGTGGTATCGCCATCCTCTCCCCAGTGGCGGGGTGATTTTTCATTTCTCACTCTCTGTCTGTACATGCACTGTATAGCAAAAACTAAAAAAAAAAAAAAAAATTCTGTAAATGGAATTGCTGGGCCAAATATGAACCTCTCAGAGAAACCTTTTACCCTTCAGAGAAAAAAAAAAAACATTTTAAGCAATAAGGTCAGCCCTGCTGAGTGTTCTCTCATCAGTTATCCGGCATTCAAAACCTGCCGATAACCATTAGCTCGCCTTGCTGGTAAATTTAGATTCATTGACTACTACTTATTCTGGGTGGAATAGTGTCCCCTCCAAATTCACTTTCTCCCAGAATCTCAGCATGTGCCCTTATTTGGAAGTCTTTGCAGAAGTAACTAAGACGAGCTTGTAACAGACAGGGATGGATACTAAATCTTACGATGGGTGTCCTCATAGAGGCAGAAGTGTTGTGGGTTACACGCCCTAAGACAAAGGCTAAGAGTAAAGTGGGGCATCTATTAATATATGCCAAGGACCACCAAGGCTGGCCAGCAGTCACCAGGGGTGGGCGTGAGGCCTGGGACAGACTCTCTTGTAGAGCCTGTAGTGGAAGGACCCTGTGTCCACATCTGAATTCTGAACTCCGGCTTCCAGAACTACCAGACTCCATGGGTCCCTTGAAGCTAGCAGGTGTGAGTACTGCAGCGTACGGGTCCAGTGGCCTTGTGAAGTGTGGTCTAGATCCATTTCTATGGGTTAAGGTGGTCCAGTTGGAACATTTTGCTCACCTTCTTTACTGGCCTCCCCTTCAGGCCTCAGCCTGCAGAAAGTAGAGAGCTGTTCTCAGTGGTGTCTGTCCCCATCTTCAGGCCCCCAGGAAGTACCAGCAGGAACACACAGACCTTCCTGAGCTGTGATCCTTCACCTGCTCTACTCAGCACCCTGATCTAAGCTGCTGCCACCTCGCCACCCAGTGACCCACCACCTCTGTTCACTTTTCCCCTCGCTCCTCCAAGCCCTCTTGCCAGCAGCCTAAAGGACCCTCTCCAGTTACCAATCTCATTACCATTCGTTAGTGAAGGCTCCAGTAGGAAGAGGTCCTGGCTGCACAGATGTAAAAAAACTTGATGCCCTGGGGTTGGCAGACGGCATGGTGGTTAAAGGCACTAGACTCCCACATCGTCAACTGCAGTTCAAGTCCTGGACCTGGCAGCTCGCTTTCTTACTTTCCCTCCCTCTCTCTCACTCTGTCCCTCTCTGGTGGACTTAAAAACTAACTAAGTAAAGTTAAATAATTCTTTTTTTTTAAAGAATCATTTTAACTTTGTTTTAATTTGACCAGAGAGGGACAGAGTGAGAGAGAGGGAGGGAAAGTAAGAAAGCGAGCTGCCAGGTCCAGGACTTGAACCATGGTTGGCCACATGGGAGTCCAGTACCCCCAACCACACCACCTGCTGGCCCCAATAATTCTTTAAAAAAAAAAAAAATTAAAGAACACATGCTCTTCAAGGCTGACAAAAATGGGAAGGTGCTGGGTTTGTGCCCCAAGATCCCCCAGATTACGCTGTGCGTGCATATACTCAAGACTGGGACTGGCTGAGGCTGGAGGTCCTGTTGAGGAGGCTGGCCCCGTGGCCTGGTGGTTAAGGGAGTCAGTTCCCACATGGTTAAGAGCAGTTCAAGTCCCAGCCCCGGTGGCTTGAAAACCACACTGGGCACACACGCATGGTGCTCCCCATCCTGACAGGATGGAGAAATGGAGAAGGGATTGGAACGTGACCATTCCCCACGTGGGGGGATTTCTTCCTTAACCACCTCTCTCTGGTGAGGGCATGTGCTGTCTGGCAACTGGAAAGAAAAAATAAAGACCTTACTGGGGCACATGTCTCTTCCTCATGGAGTAAAATCCAGAAATGAGACTTTGGCACTCCAGGCTCACAAGGCCAGTGTGAACTGAACGGCCACGAGACCAGCTGACAGCAGACCCTCTCCAGGTACTACCCTTCGGAGAGCGTGGTGAGTGTTCTGGATGGCACTCAAAAGGAAAAAAAAAAAAAAAAAGACATAGACAGCCCCTGCAATCAAGTAAGAGACCTGAACTGGGACAAAGAAGAATCAAGACTTTAGACCTGATGTGTCGGCCACAGAGTAAGAACTGGGGATCTGAATGCAGAACAGAGCACACAGTCAACTTACTGGAAAAAGAGTCAACTTTAATTGCAACTGATCAAACCATGTCCAGGAATGTCTCTGAACAACTGAACCAAAGGAACACGATAAAAATCTCTCACTGAAGAAACAAAGAGTTTGTGCCTGCCCCAGTGCTTCTGTGGGTCAGGCCGACAGCAGCCCATCCAGAGGCTGGCTCCTTTCCCCAGTTTCTCATGCCAAGAGGCAGGCTGGGGACAGTGAGGAAGGGGCCTGTCCCCTCCTCCCATTATTCTGGGAGCTCTGAGAAAATCCCTGGTGGGATGAGCCTTCGCTTTCATCCCTCATCTGTCCCAAGGTAGCGAGGACCCCTGGGCACCATCCAGAAAGCCAAGGAAGCGGGCGGGGCAGCCCCAGAGCCCTCCTTACCATTCAGCCAGTGCTGAAATGTGCACTAGAGAAAAACGCAAATGCCCCTTCATCTTCACAACGCAAGTCACACAGCAGAAAAAATAAAACTGCCCTAAAGAACAGCGCAGTGCTGGCCCTCAGAAGACGCGCTCAAACTCCGTCTGGTTGGTCGTGGCAGGGTTGCGGCTCTGGTTAGTGGATTGCTGGGTGATCTGGCTGCCCTTCCGGCGTGGTGGGGCCAGGTATTCAAACATGGATGTTAGGTGGGTGGACAGCATGCCCTTGAGGTCCGAGGGCATGGGGTCGGACCAGAAGAAGTCGTGGTTGAGGGCGTCATCACTGTCAATGCGCTGCGCTGGATCCAGCACGAGCAGCTTGTCAATGAGGTCCAGCGCATAGGGGTCACGCACATATGCCTTCAGCCTGTCCTTCACCTTCCGCTTCTGGCCCTTGACCAGCTCTAGCTTCTCAAAGAGTTCATACTTGTCCACGTTTGGCCACACCTAGCAGGGAGGGAGATTGAGAGAGGGTAGAATTAGAGGCTAAGGAGTGCAGAGTTGATCTCCAGAGGGGAATCCAACTTTCTCCACTCAACTGCTCCCAGACCACCCTTGGACAGAGAACTTGACCCCTCCACCATGGACTTTGGAGACAGTAAGTGCCAGATCCTTTTACAAAAACTGATCTGCCAGGAATCTGTGTGCCATCTCCAGCAGAAACATCTGTTAATAGCCAGCACAGACTCAAATGTTTTGTCAAAGACCACAAAAGCTGGTGCCAACGCTGAGACACGAACACTGTGATGTGGCCTGTCCCTCCACCAGCCTTCTCTGCAGGAAGGGGCTCTCCTTGTCTCCCACGCCTCCCCATGTCTCCGCACCCTGTGGGGGCTGGGGGCCCAGCAGCTTCACACACCTCGGGAGTGATGGAGCCACACAGCTGGCTGATGAGGGCAAGCTGGTGCTGCTCTGTGTTGCCCTGCATGATAGGGCTGCGGGTCCACATCTCCGCCATGATGCACCCAGCACCCCACAGGTCAATGGGCGGGCCGTAGTCCCGCTCCCCTGGGAAGAAGAGTGCACCAGGAGGGCCCCTTGAGCCCGAGGCTCTCCTGAGACTTAATGCCCCAGGGCTGGCGGCTCAAGAAGCCCTGGCAGTGGGGAGCTGTGGCCGGGTAGGTGCCCGGCCCCTGCCCCCCTCTGCCCGCTCGGGAGTCCTCACCGAGCAACAGCTCCGGAGGGCGGTACCAGAGCGTCACCACGCGGTTGGTATAGCGGTTGGGCTGGCTGTTCTTGGCCAGGCTGAAGGCCCGGGCCAGCCCAAAGTCCGCCAGCTTCAGGACCCCATCACGAGTGATGAGCACATTGGCGGCCTTCATGTCCCGGTGCAGGATCTGCAAGAAGGGTAAGGGGGAAAGTTCAGCCAGTTCCAAAGGGTCCTCCAGCCACACCCAGCAGTAGCAGCAGCAGGGGCCAGCCCAGGCCTCCCACCTCCAGCCCCACCTTGTTCCTGTGGATGTAGTAGAGGCCATTGAGCAGCATCTGCATCACCTTCTTGATCTCGGACAGCGTGAATTTGACTAAGACGTTGCTCAGCAGCCCAGCAAGGTCGTGCTCGCAGAAGTCGAACACCAGGTATATGCTGCCCTTGCAGCGGTTATAGGGGGAGGCTGAGGCAGGAAGGGCAAGGAGAAGAAAAATAAAAGCTGCATCCAACTCACTTTCCCACAGTCAGCTCCTACCCCTCCAGCCCACAGACACCCATTCCCTCCAGGGCGCCCATCTGTTTGTTACTTCCTGGCAAAATACTGTGAGTGCCTCCTGAGCCAGGTGCAGTGACAGGCCCTGGGGAAGCACCAGGTATGATAAAGGACCAGAAAAAGCAGTCACCACTAGTATGCCTGAGGTGAGAAAAGGCCACTGAAGTGTGTCCAGGTCCAACTCCACAAACATGGCCTTAGGCTACGAGCCTCATTTTTCTCCTGAAACCCAATCAACTAACCTTTGGTCCGACAAATCTCAATCAAGTTGACCACATTCTCATGTTTTAGAAGCTGGAGGATCTTGATCTCTCGCAAGGCTGTAATGGGGAACTAGGGGAGACAAGGAGAGAAAGTGGTCCAAAGGGAACGAGCGCGCCACACTGCAAAGAACTGGCCCTGGGGTCTATACTAAAGGGCAGGGGTTGGGGGACAAAAAATATCAATAGACCATGGGCTCGGAAATGAGCTGTCTCAGACGCCTCATCTGAAAATAAGGCAACACGCACACCTCAAGAAATTAAGTTTAAGAGAATGAATTAAAGCAGCGATACTTAAAATGTTTTGCACTTAGTCCTCCATAGTTCTAAACTTGGAACTTTAGCTCTAAGACTGTTTGGTGGTAACAAAATTAACAATTAGAATATCTTGCTAAAAAATAGGTGCCTGGAAGCTGGACTAGAGCTATAATACGGAAGGGACTGCCCCTTTTCCATATGGTTCCTTGAGTTTGGGGCCCTTTCTCTTTCTTTGGAGAGGTCTTTGATATATGGCGCGTGTACTCACCAGAGAGAGAGAAAGACAGAAAGCGAGAAATCACCCCCCGGGGGGGGGGGAGGGCCATCCC